CTAGCTGGATATCCACTACCCCGAAGTTTGTTTTTTTACTTCAATTTAGGCTGCTGTTCGCTCAGCTTCTTATATGTACAGGGCCCTTACACGCCTAAACATTGATAACGCAATACTGGCGATTACCGACTTCGGATTGGCAGACGAGTAGTTCAAAACTGCCTTAGTGTCAGTTGGCTTCTCGTACACTGTGGTCTTTAGTTTCCATCCAGCCTTATGTGTCATGCAGTCGAAAAAGGCTAGTGTACACGAGGTTGTCTCCATACTAAATTTGATCTGTGGACTCAGTTTATCAGATAATTGGCAAAACTCACTAACCTTTTCCCGTTTCACGACGACGAAATTGTCATCGACATACCGCCAAAATATCTTAGGTGGGTTGGGAAATCCGGCTAAAGCCCTCTGTTTAAATTCTTCCATAAATATATTTGCCAAAACCGGGGATATTGGAGAACCCATTGCTAGACCTTGTTCTTGAGTATAAACCACTGAGTCAGTGAAGCTTTTGTATCGAAACGTTACCCAAATAAAAACTACCGATTGTTTACCAAGCTCTTCTGAAACGATGACTTCTCAATCGTTTTCAAATTTTTTCCAGTGTGTTCACTTCATTCCAAGCTCCTTGTTCTCTCCGGTTCTCTTTAAGGACACAGAGCTTATTCGCACTAAATCTCTGTCCCTTGCTACTTCTTTCTTTCCCAATGTTTCTCCCGTCTTGGTTGTGTACCAGTCCACTGAGAGCGTTCACTAGCAGTGTACATAAACATAAGGGATTGAAGTGTTGCTTTTGTGGGTCTCCAGTCAGAAACTATGAAGGGTGGAATAAACGGCTTACCGTTTATGGATATTTGATACCATTAGGTGTCATCCTGAGTTTCGCGTGTATTAACTTCACAACCAGTCAAAGGCTTGCAGAAACTCCCCACTCCTAAATACAGGCTGATTAAGAATACGTTGAAATGGAAACGAGATTAAACTTAGTTTCCAAACTGACGTTTTTGTCCAAAAATTCTAGATTGAACCTGTGATGGGTGACACCATTATTGCACATTATTGGTTATGCCAATGCCAAAAACTACTGCTGTGACTGTGTCAGACAGTGATTTCTTGACTCGTCTGACACCATAACCATGTTGCATGCATGTGAAAGTGTTAACTTGTAATCAACTGTCCTTGAATTATCAAGTAGTCAAAACACAGACACATTATACTACCTGCATAAAGATGATCCAATCCTTCTGCACAGACCAGAGAGCATCGGTTCAATAGATGTATCTGACAACGTGAAATGCATCCTCTCTGACAAATTCACGTTCCCAGTGCTGGTGATAGCATGAACCCTCTATCTGAAAAGTCATCACTCAAGATGCCAGTCGACAAGCGACCACGTGACGTGAATCCCATGATCAAAGAAGGATGAATAGCGCTAAATCCTGTCTGGATGAGGATTAATCACACCACTGATCAGCCGCGCGTGCCCGATCGATTACCGGGTGGTTTTTTATCCCTATAACCTGATGCCTTATTAGATGTTTACTACTGAAGATTCTCAAGTGTCAAAACAACTGTAGGGGGTTTCTTTGCTTTTCTACCTACGTTTGGTCCACTACTTTGGTGTTAATTAAGCCGAGTTGCTGTGCAAAACAGTGCATTTTGCGGAAAGCATCCAATTTGAGTTCAAGTAAAACCTAGTGTCGACGGAAACTTGGAGACTGCGCTTAGATGATGGGCCTCAAGTAAAGCCAAACCGGCCGCTGTCATTCAAAGGGCTCCCGGCAACCTAATGGGTAGAGTGTTCTACGCCCAAACCGGTCGGTGTACCGATTGGCCCAAAACCTGGCGTGTTCATTCTATATTCATTATATCACATAACCGCAATAGCTTAAGTGAGGTACGGGACGGTTTCAACTCAGCCGGAATCTGAATAAAATTCTAAATTCTTACGTATCTGGATAAAGTGTAGCGGTATTCAACATCTGCAGAAAAGCGTAGAGCACAAACGTACTTTGCGTGATCAGTGCATGTACCTCGGGTATACTGCCTCCTTAAAATCAATGACAAATCTCCGTAGATGCTTTGCCGATTGGACAATGAACATTGTATCAGGTAGTTTACGAAGCGAACTAGAGGTCCCAAACAAGATCAGAATTCGGTATAGATTTACAACCTAATTCCTAAATGGAACAATCGAATTTGATCAACATAGGCAGGCCATTCTAAGTCTGAGAGGAAACAGTCGAGAATCACTCTCTAGAATATAAAAGAGTCGCTCAGAGTCCTTTTTTACGGCATTCATACCGTTTGAATCTATTTCTTTCCTCCATGATCATGATCAAAGTCATCGAAGAATTCTGTAAAGAAAAAAGTACAAGGTAATCACGTCCCCATGCGAAATTTGTTCAACTTGTTCATTTTCCCCAGTGCCTTTGATGTTCCTTGGGTCACGCTTTATTCGGATGAACGTCATCAAAAAACAGCAAGATTGTGAAGCAGATTTGTTTGTGATCCATCCATCCATCTGCGCAAATAGCTTTTACAGCAGATAGGTTAAGCGAGTTTCATTGGCGTGATTTTCCCGTGCACCGTCGTTTTTAATTTCGGATGTACTTTTCTCGCGGTCAAACACTTTCCATCTCTGAATTGGTTCCAGTCTTTGAAGAGCTTCTTGATCAATACCTACCGGCACTGCTGAGCTGCAAATATGCTCACAGCCTCCAGCTAACCCGACGATGACTCAAGATAGCAGGGGTCGCTGGATGAACTTTTCCATTCACTGTCACACAGTGACGAAGCGCGGATAAATAAGAGTTATTCTGAGCTTTTTTGGGAAATATCCGGCAGATTTATACAGTGAAACAAATTCTGTAACGGTTCGCCCAAACCATAAGGTCAGTGAGACCCAAATCCAACCAACTTTGGACAAATCACGCGCTTTTTTTCGAAAAAAGGTCTGTTTTTCGCCTTTTTGACCATCGATCTGCGAATACCGTTAATTCAATCCATTATTCACCTGGTGATGCGTTGGTCTACACTTCTTTCAAACTGTTTTCCCTTCAACGTCAATTTCTTCTCAATGCAGTCATGCGGAGGTGGACCTGAGCAACTATGTACAGAATGGAGAATGGAATTTGCTTCGAGTTTCCGTGGTTCGGGATGAGGTAAGTGGCTGCACACATGCGCATGTTACTGATTTGCATAACATCGATTGTGGAACGAAAAATTTTTCAAATGTATGACAGCCAATCCGCAAAGTTTGGACGTGTGCGAATCAGTGATCGGAAAGACAAAATGACGCACAAACAATTATTGTTTCATCAAGAAACCAACTTTGACTGTATCAAGCTTTCTTTAGTTTGTGATAACAAAATTTTTTACGACTAAATGTACATCCATAAGGTAATTACCTAATAGGAAAAGCTGTTTTCATCTTTCTACCATAGTTGGGCCAAAAACGTTATAGCCGACCCCACCTTCTAAATACTTTGCGTTTCCGAGATCATTGTCTGTAGTGTGTGCAACGGTTTGATCCTGTCCCCAAGTCATTGCGCTGCTATTTATACGGAATGTTACGTTTGGACTCAACAGATCTTTCCTGACGGCAAGAAAAGCATTTGACAGAGAGAGAGAGAGAAGAATTCCCTGGCTGCGGCCAATCCACGTTTATTTATCTTTTAAAATTAGCATTTCTCCCTCCTTCCAGGTCTCGAATCCCAAAACATTTGTGTGAGAAGGCATGTTCTGATATAGTTTGTAAGCTTTGTTTCAACGTTTTTTTTCTTGGAGAAAACTCGCAAGGCGCAAGTTTACGACGACACCAACAGTATCACGGCTCCGAAAAGATCATGGTTGATCGGTGTCTTCTTTGAAGGTTCGAAAGTATTCTAAGTTTACTATTTCTTTATATATACATATATATATATATACATATATATATATATACATATATATATATATACATATATACATATATATTGTAACATAAGTTGCAGTGTTCGACTTACAACTTCCACTACAACTCTCATCTAAACTAACCACTCCCCGGCTGCTGTCGGAGCCGCGTCATCAGACTTCTACAATCCGTGACCGCGAAAAAATGTCCTTGCGCAAACAAGGGGGTTCACGCCTCCAGAAGCCTGAACTGGCAGC